CACACTTGTTTTGTGAGTGTCATGGGCCGAATTTCACTTAACAATTCGTCCCTTTGCCTCTCCTCTTTGTGCTCTACCTTCTCGTGGTTCCTATGCGTTGTAATCTCCTTTTCATGGTCTTGGTTAAACCGGGAGGACACCACTTAGGTTGAGTATATTTGGGATCGCTTGGTTTGGCCTTGCTTGTGCTCGCCTCATGATCACTAAGCATGGAACCCTGCTGAAAAATAACAATATCACCATTAGAAGTAGCCAGATTACCAACAACCGGCTTTTTGATCTCCTTTTGCTTGTCGCATTCTGAAATTTCCGCACTAGATGACTTAAGACGCCACACTTTTTTATTGGCCTTACTTGGAGAAATTTTTGTTGGCCGATTAGCACCATATCTCAAACGGCCTTGTGTGGGATAATAAAGCCTCTCACGAGCAGGCCTTCTAGGTGCTGCCCACTCCATATGGAAAGCATAAGGAGCCATTGGGGGCTGCCCCCATCCTCCACCGAAGCCTCTCATGTAATATGGCGCATAGGAGGGTTGTGACATCCATGGTGTCGGTGCCCCTGACCCATATGGCCTTGCATATCGTTGAAACTCTTGCTCCGGAGGCAATCTTGAACGCTTTGAATGTGATGGCCGATTAGAGCTAGAACCGGCCGCTTGACTTGCATATTTGGATAGCAACATATCAAAAGTTGGCTTGATTCTCTTGTTCTTAGTTTCATTCTTTTACCACTTGCCAACTTCTGAATTCTTGGGCTTGATCAATTTAACATGAGCATCCTCTTGTACTTGTGGTTGCCCCCCCGAGTGTGGCATTTTTTATAGTGATCTTCAACACTTCCTTGCCATCTGGTTGCTTCTCAAGCACAATCTTTCTTCCCAAGACCTTGTCGCCCTCCTTGCTATTCCTGGGTTCACCAATAACAACACTATCTTTATTAGCAGATTCGGCTATGCTAGGCCGAATCAACATTTTCTTTCCCTCCAAGTCCATGGTGTTTATCGGGAAGGGCTGTTTATCAACTTGCATCTCAGCAAAATTCAATCGTCCGTCATTAATGGCCGATTGTATCTGTCGTCGGAAAACATTGCAATCGTTAGTAGCATGAGAAAATGAATTATGGTACTAGCAATAAGCACGCCGTTTCAGCTCCTCAAACGGCGGTATGGTGTGTGATATTCTAATCATATTATCTTGCAAGAGTGCATCAAATATTTTATCACACTTTGATATATCAAAAGTAAACCTCATCTCCTCATCACGATTCTTGCGAATCGGCTTAAGAGCATTGCACATATAGGGTTTGGCCTTTGAGGACCAAACAAATTCAGTAGTATAGACATCAACCTCATCGTTCGAATTATCATCATTGTGTTCAGTCATATGCATTCTAGGACGATCGGTTGTAGACCTATGAACCTCTTTACTTCGACTCTCTTGAGCCAACGCCTTTTGCAAGACTTGGTTAATATTCAAAAACTCATAACTTTCCAACCTCTCTTTAATGTGAGTTTTTAAACCATTAAGAACAAGATCCGCCAAGTCTCTCTCAGTTATCACTAAGCTATAACATCGGTTCTTTATATCTCTAAATCTCTTGACGTAATCGGTGACCGATTCATCATGTTTCTGCCTAACCGATGTAAGATGTGACAATTTTAACTCATTATCGCCGCTATAAAAGTGATCATGAAACTTTTGCTCTAATTGCGACCATAAGAGAATTGAGCCATGTTGTAAAGCAGCAAACCATGAAAATGCGGTACCAGTTAAAGACAAGGGAAATAAACGCACTTTCAACTCTTCTATGGAACCTGCTTCACCCAACTGTGCTATGTACTGACTCACATGCTCCCAAGTTGTTTTCGTACCCTCACCACTAAATTTAACAAAATCAGGAACCTTATAACCTTGAGGGTAAGAAATTGCATCGAAGTGTTCAGGATAAGGCTTTTGATACACACGACTCTTTACTTTCGGCTCGTTTCCGAAAGTTTCTAGAAACATCTTATGCAAATCCTCCCTTAATTTAGCTAAAATTGGATCCGAGGTAGATGAAGATGTTTGTGGCAATGACATAGGAGCAACCTGAGTACTAGCTATTGGTGCAACTTGTGGGATGGGCGCCGAACCATAATTCGGCGGAAGACCAAACATACTTGCGCCTATGGGTGGTGTGACAAAATGATTCGGCGTTGACACCGAATTGGGCACACTCATAATAGGATTAGGGTATGTAGGTGTAGTCACAAGCTGGTTGGTTTGACTAGGGTAAAAATTCAACGGCATACTATATTGTTGTTGTATAGGAGGCGCCAATGAAATAGGTAAAGTTGGACTGGCGTTTTCAGATACACCAGCAGTACCACTAGATGACGGAGGCATATTTTTCTGAGCATTAGCACTAGCCACAAAAGAATTGTATGCCATCACATTACCCTTGCTAACAAGACTTTCAATCACAGCCACTTGCTCTGGAGAAAAAACTTTACTCACAGTGATTACATCTTGTTCGTCGATGAGGGGAGGAAAATCGACGTTTCCAATCGGAGTGATGTTGCCTTGACGGTCCTTCTTGAAACTTGAAAGAAACGCTTCCAAATCCTCCTCCTCGCGCTTCTTCTTGAGCGCCTCAAAAGCCTCTTCACGCTGCTTCTTGCGCGCTTCGTAGGCTTGGCGATGTTCATCCGATAGTTCATCAAGACCGGGCTTAATGATGTTATCGGCGTCAACTTCTGAGGGCTTGGGGAGATTAGACATGGTTGATGATGATTCTTGATCTTTCGTCCCCAGCGGAGTCGTCAAAAAGTGTGTTCGCACACGAACACGTCACCGTGTACCTTCAACGCCGAGGGTGATGCACCGCAGCTCACGTCGAAGGAGACCCGCCGGAAGCGCGATACGCAAGACAATCCGGCGGGCGCTTTTGAGCACCCGAAACCCCACGCGCCCGGGAGGGACCCCGTCTGGACGCGCGGCGGCTATGGGCTGCCCTAGGTCGGTTCGCCCGCCCCTAGAGCTTCGAGGATCGCTGCCCTCCAATATGAAGAACAAACGAAGAACGAGAGAGAAAGAACAAGGGAGGGATGTAAAACTAGGGTAAAAAGTAGATGAGTTTTGCGATTGTGTGTTGTTGTTCAATCGGCCGTCACCTCTTGTCTATATAAGAGGCGGGTGGACTTCCCGTACAATAAAAGGACTTGCCTAGCCGTCCAAATCATCAAAACCTAATAAAACACGGACTATTCACGACCCCCGGCCCGGATGTCCGGCTCAAGGCCCGGATGATCCGGCCTAGCCCAGTTTCTTGACAGCAGCTTACTGTTTTGGCTCTAGAATCCTCATACGACCTCGGATTTGGACGTTTTTTATATCCAAATAAACCGTCTCGACGAGACGCACAACTTTCATGTTGAACACTTTTTGATCTGAGGTCATCTGGAGGGAGTTTCGGGCTGTTTTCTAACATCTGCAGCAGAAAAACTTGTCCAGACGTCCGGACGATTGCCCGGACTGTCCAGCCTTTACCCGGATCATCCGGGAGTTGACCCAGATCATCCGACTTCAGCGCCAATCTTCTGGAATCTTAGTGCTTCAATTACCCGGATGATCCGGACCCCGGCCCGGATGATCCGGCCAACATTGGTGCAGCGCACGGTTTTGCCTATAACTTTTGCATACGACCTCGGATGGGGACGATCTTTATATCAAAATCGTCCGTTTCGACGAGACGAAGAACTTTGCAGTTGTAACTTTTTTCATCAGAGGCCATCTTAATTAGATTCCATACCATTTTCTAATCTGATGTCAACACAAGTATCTCCGAAATTGGCATATCTTTTACACTTGAGCTCCGTTTTGATCCATCTTCACATTTACTTTGATTATCTTGAAGAGCGCCATCAAATGGTGACATGAACTCATAAATTTGACCTCATCTTGCTACAGCCTCAAGTCACTCTTTGCGATCATGCCCTTTTTGAGCGTCAACAAAAGGTCGACAATTTGACACAGCATGCGTCAAATAAGATATTGATGCGGCCCGAGCGAACGAACGGTGCTAAGAAACCTGATTTCTGGGCCAGTCCAAATGCACGGACGCCAGCGGTAAGACCTATTAGAAATCGGCACGAACAGTATATAGTTCCAACAGTGCCCCTGATATAGGGGTTAGTTGAGCCCGAAACAAGTTCAAATGGACAAGTGAGTAAAACCAACAGTTTAGGGGCATAACTGGATTTTTTGGAAGAAGATTTTAATATGTCATCAATAAATTAAGGACCCCGATAAAATCCGAACGTTCGTATTTTAAGCATTTCATCCCGAACGTTTTTACATGGCAACTTTAGTTGACGTGAGGTGGCAATTTTAGTTGTTAAGCCATGGCAACTTTGTTCCAATTTGTTTTTTTGTCAGAAAATTGCAATGTTTACCAACCTCACGCGAACTAAAGTTGCCATGAAAAACGTTCGGGTCCCCATGATTAAAATCCGAACGTTCAGGATTTATCATTGCCATAAATTAAATTATATTAAAGATATTTCAACAGCCATATTTTTAATATAGCTATAAGCTACCCCTAGATCATTATAAATCTATTGTGCGTTTAATTCTAGAGAAAACAACATCACTGGTTTTGCAGCATGTGAGAAAAGAAGAAGTAGCTTATTATAGAATGCACACTTAACTCGCCACCATTCTCTCTTGACCTCTCCCTCCATTTTGGCCACCCTGGTTTGAGCGCTCCGCCATTCCCCCGTCGCTGCTCCTCTTGCATTCCTCGATCCACAAAAGGGCAAACAGCATAACAGATCAGAACTTTTTTGGCACATTTTCTCTGTTCTTGGTCCACGAACAGGAAGGCAACAAGGTGAGGATCGGAGGCCACACTGGCGATGCACGCCGCCCTCTTCTTGCTCTCCTTGACCAGCGCCTCCGCGTCCGTCCTCGCCGCCCTTGCGTCTTTCTGAGCTCCGGTCCACCGGCGACGATAGACCAATGGCGCCGCCCCAGGAGGGGGAGCAGTGCGGGCGGCCGGCCAGCAGCGTGTTGATTTGGGTGGTGACGGTGCTGCTGCTCCTCGCCGTGCTCGGCGGCGGCGGGTGCCTCGTGGCCTACGTCCTGCTGCCGCCGAGCGAGGCGCCCGGATGGATCCCCTGCGTCGGCCTGGGCCTCGTGGCGCTCCCCTGGGCGTTCTGGCTCGCCACCGTCGCCTACCGGTGCATCACGGCGCGCTCGGCCGACCGCGCCGTGGCGCCCGCGGCCGCCGGCAGCTAATTTCATTACTTAAGAGTAGGTAACCATTGTGATGTTAGTATCAAATCTGTTGTCAGTGAGAAAAGCATTTAGCAAGGAGAATCTGTGGGGATCGATTATGCATTGCAATGTTTGCATGGTTATGAAGTAAGAAAGTTGGTTATCTGAAAAGTGTGCCATGGTTATATTTTGTCTTTTAACTCTTTATGCTTTGCAGTGTGAAGCTGATTGGAGATCAACACAATTGATGTGAGGATTATATCAACTAAATTCCACCGACTCCCGCAAATAAAAAATAAAAAAAATTCGACCGAGTTTGGTTTAAATCTTTCGATCAAAATCCGACGTGATGGTAGATGCAACCGTAATGGACCACAACATCTGAACAATTTTTCATAATCATGAGACTAAACTGCACGTGTTGTTTATAATCATGTTTCGTGATTGATCCAATATGTCACGTCTACACACCATCTTTTTTTTGCCACGCAGAAAAATAAAGATCGAAACATCACACTAATGGAAAAGGAAAACAGAACTGAACAACTATTGGATTGTTCTAAACCGAGCCGGTTCGTTGTTGATAGTTCTTGAAGGAACATCAGTGTAGTATAACCGGAGAAGATAACTTGCATTTTGGTTGGTCTGAATGTGGCTAACTAGAAGCTTATGAATGGGGAACTCAATTAATAAAGATATCCCATTAATAAATTTACTGTAAATAGTGCTCGAATGGAATATATCCATCCATATAGCAAATAATGTGGAAACCTTTCAGATGTTCCTTCCATGGCAAAATCTTATCTCTGAATTATCCAGACGATCCTTCGATTGCAAAAGACATATCTCTGGTCTCTGGATTAAATAGCATCGGTCAGAGATACACATGTACGCGTGCAATCATATGATTGTCCACTACTGATCTGGTGATATAGATGCTTCCCGTGAAGAATAACTTACATGCAATGCAGGCATCGTAGTCGTTTTCTTTTTTCCTGCGAAAGAGATAAATGCAATATTTGGATACAGAGCGAAGAATCTGTACCTATTATTTCCAATTATTTGACCCTACTTTATAATGATAATGCGTTTCAGCTGCTGGGACACTATTGTCAATGAAAAGAGAGGCACATCCATCTTTGATGAGATTTGTATGACCATAATTGAACTTCCTCAAGGAATTGCACTAGATATCATATTGGCAGGCTGTTGGGGCATTTGGTGTGTACGCAATGGCAAGATCTTCAGACATGCGGCTGCTCATATCCAGGGTTGGAAGTACTACATGCGGGAAGGACTGATCAGAGCTCAGTACAGAGCTAAAATGTCCAAGGCCAAAAAGATTCAGAGATGGATAGATAGTTTTCTTTAATTTTACACTATATGATGTTTTCTAGAGTTGGTATTGGGTGAGCTACTGCTTGTGGACTTTGTTGTAAATAATTTTTACTACCATAGAACGATTGTTCTATGATCAGCAGGTCAAAAATGATAATGCAGGTGGCGGACAAGGCGGCTAGGCGTGCGGCTGCTCGTGATCTCCCTGCTTCAGGTATTCCTCCAGCCCCTTCCCCGGTGGTTCATAACATCTCTTCACCTACTAAGCTTGTATTGCCTTCGTACTCGGATGAGCATTTGACTAAGGTTCTTGCGGACTCTGGCATCTCTCTTGATCATAATCTTGGATCGCCCTCTTCCCTGATTGCTCTCATTAGGGCCAATGAGGTGGCTCAGGCGGCTTTGGCCAAGGCTAAAGAGGCCACTGCGGCTCCCCCTGCCCCCCCAGTTGTGGCTGCTGGGGAGGGGGGGAGGCCCTGCTAGTGATGTTGCCCCGCCGATTTCTGTGAAGAAGGGTGTCTCAAAACGTGCTAAAACCTGCTTGGCACCTGCAGGTCGAGCTTACGCATTAAGAATCTGTCTTTCAAATGAGAGCCCTTTTCTGGAATATCAGAGGTTTCGGGGCTCGGGGGCGCCGGGACCAAATTAAATATATTGTCAGGGGTGATAATATAGACTTGATTGGTTTGGTTGAAACCTTCAAGCCTTCCTTCTCTCCCCACGAACTCTCCTCTAGTGCGGGGGCCGATCGTTTTGATTGGAACTTCCTTCCCTTCTCGGGTCATTCGGGTGTGTAGCGACCCGACCCGAATGGGTCAAGTCTCTGTGCTTAAGTGTCATCCCTGGATCGGTATGCTGACACACACAGTACTCGAGGATTTATAATAGAGGTAAATCACATGTATAAAGTAACGTAAATACTATTACCTCAATCCAAATATAGCGGAAGCAACAAGGTTGTGGATTCCCATCAACACCAACGGCAAAGTTGAGTGTAGAAATCGTAACCCTAACGTATCAATTACTCGTCGTCTGAAAAGTCTGCAACATGAAACGTTGCAGCCACAAAGGGTCAGTACACTGAATGTACTGGCAAATTCACACCATAGAGCAATGATGAATAAAGACTATCACTACATGCATATTTGGCTGGTGGAAAAGCTCTATGATTACAGTTTTGCGTAAAGCCAATTTTTTCCCTACTGCAAAGGAATAAATTTATTTAACTATCATGGTGGTTGTGGAACATTGAGAATGGTTGACAGCATTCTCAATCCCAATTAAAAGTACTCATTAACAACCCAACAATATTAAATTAGAGTAACATGTTGAGATCAACAGGATAATCCAAGTACTAGATACTCAAAACGTCCATAACCGGGGACACGGCTAACCATGATTAGTTTATACACTCTGCAGAGGTTTGCGCACTTTTCCCCACATGACTCAATCTCCTCCGTTTGGTTTCTCGCACTACATGGTGTTTGAGAAACGGATGACCGAGACATAGTCTTTCAAAAGCACTTGCACTTTACATAGGGGTAGACCGTACCAACCTACATCCCCTACATCTGCTAGTCCACCCCGTAAGAGTTCGCACAACTTAGTCAACTATGCTAGAGCCCATAATAGCATGTGGCTGTACACGGAAGTTTCTAGTTTGAATAATCTCATGATCCCTTTGAGCCTGGGTGGCGGTCCGAAGAAAAACAGGCAAGTCCTAGAAACCCAGGTGCCTAGACAGGCAAGTCCTGGAGTAACCAGGTGCCTCAATCCACCCAGATGTGTATTAAAGTTGCCACCTTAAATAAACCATTAATTAACAAACTCACATCTGTCATGGAAAATTCACTCACCCAATCCACGTCTACTTGCATAGCATGGCATAATAAGCAAACGTAGAAGTAACTCCCAAGGGTTTGATAATAAAACAGGTAATAGGTACTACCTCAACTAATTCCCATAACCCACAATTTAATTAGATCCTAATCATGCAATGTTTGAGGATAGATCTAATACATAAAAACTGGGTATGAGAAAAGGTATGATCAAAGTGTGAACTTGCCTGCAATGTTGATGAAGATGATTCGCACTCAAAACTTTTGATGGTTCTACTCGTCACTGCCCGGTCAATCTATCGTAAGCAAGCAATTGTAACCACACATAAGCAATCACTCAAAAGATCGGAAAGAACGAAGAAGACGATTCGGAAAACATCAAAACCAAGCAAATAACTCTTGCAACATAAAACAATTTCTAACAGTACCAAAATTATGTGAATTTGGCCTTATCAGAAATTTTAGGTCAAGGGCTTCGAGATGCAAAAAGAATCACTCAAAACGGAGTTATAAAACTCAAGTTACGATCAAGTGAAGTTCAAATACTAAACTGTTTTAATTCAAATTTTAAACTTTCAAAAACATGTTTGAGTTAGATTACTGGATAGAGGGGATCATAAAGAAGAGGTGGACATTGGTTTCGTTGGATTTGGACAAACAGACAAAAAGTTGTGAGTGTTTGAAAATTGGGGACTAATCTGTAAAATGAAACAACTACAACTAGGTCCCTGGCAGAAAAATAAAATAAAAGAAAAAGACTAAATAGCGAACGTTCGCTGCAGAAACCTATAAGATGAAAACCGTTCTCTACAAATCCTAAACTAGCAAACATCCACTAATTAACCTAACTCATAAATAAAACCGGTCTTTAAAAAAAACCAAAGAAAATATAAAAAAAACAGCGAACCGGGGTCGGTTATTACCGGTTCGGGAAAAAAACCCGACGGTGGCGGCATGGTTCGTCGGCGTCGGAGAAGACGGCGGCGGGTGGCTCGGGCTCGACCGGAGCGGCGGCTCTGGTGGCCCACGGCGAGGGCGGAGTGGACGGGGAGGGGCGGCGCGGAGTGGCGCGTGCGATGGTGGCGACGACGGCGGTCATCGGCGGCGAGGGTGGCGGCTTCGGGCGGCGGGACTCGGCGGATCTCGCCGGCGGCGGCGGAATGCGGCGCAAGGGCGGGGGCGCGAGTAGAGAGAAAGGGCGGCGGGGCCGGTGCATTTATAGGAGGCGGGGCCTCAGATGCGTGGAGGAGGGGGCAAGGCGAGGCGGCGCGATGGCGTAGCCGAGGCGGACTCGCCGGCGTGCGGCGGCGGGAGTCGTCCCGCGTTGGGGACGAGGCGGTCGGGGCGCTGGCTGGGCTGGGCCGTGGCCTGGCCTGGGAGCTGGGCCGGCCCAGTCGGAGGAGGGAGAATTTTTTTTAATAAAACGTTTTCTCAGACAAATAAAAACAGAATAGAAAAGATATATTATATAGGCATATAATATATCAAAATTTTCAGAAAAAGATTTCCTACAAGCTGAACATTTTTCTAGAGTCAAATCAAATACACACAAATTCAAATAAAGCAAAGAGTGCTTCTGCCCTAGTAAAATCCAATAAAAATCATTTTTAAAATACCAAAATTAATTCAAATTTATTTCTCTCCAATTTTCTGATGTAGGGAATCATGTTACCCTATTTTCCATTATTTTATTTTTGCAGAAAAATAATTTGAATAAAACTCAAATAACTCCAAATTGAAAAATAAATTCAAAAGAACTTTGAATTTAATTATTTGAAACTCCCAACTCATATTTCATATGTTTTGAAGAAGTCATTTTATCTTCGCTCTTGAAAATCATTGAGT